TATGTCATAACAGTAGTTCATCTCATAAAACTTCTCACGATAAACTAACAAGCAATTCACATGTCAAAGCATAGACCATAAACTTTCTTGAAAACTAGCAAACTTCATTCTCAGTCATCAAACAATTGCAATTCATCTTATTTTCAGGAATAGCAAACTCCACATACTCAACTATCATATAGTCTTCTACAATTGCTAACACTCACGCAATACTAATGGTTATGGAGTTTCAAACGGACACTGAGAAAGATAGGGGCTTATAGTGTTGCCTCCCAACATATTCATGTTTGGGTGATGTCAACAATAATAGTTCATGCTAACTTACATCCAATTGGATATATATATCAGGATCTTCCCAACACGAGGTGCTTGCCAAAGGATAAAATGAAAAAGGGAAATGTGAAGGTCACCTTGACTCTTGCATAAATTAAAAGACATAAAGTAAAAGATAGGCCCTTCGCAGAGAGAAGCAGAGGTTGTCATGCGCTTTTAGGGTTGGATGCATAAAATCTTAATGCGAATGAACATCACTTTATATTGCTACTTGTATATGGACCTTTATTATGCAGTCCGTCGCTTTTATTGCTTCCATAACAAGATCGTATAAAGCTATTTTCTTCACACCAAAAGATCATACATATTTAGAGAGCAATTTTTATTGCTTGCACCGATGACAACTTACTTGAAGTATATTACTCAATCCATAGATAGGTATGGTGGACTCTCATGGCAAAACTGGGTTTAAAGATATTTGGAAACACAAGTAGTATCTCTACTTGGTGTAAGGAATTTGGCTAGCATGAGGGGGAAAGCAAACTCAACATGTTTGAATGATCCATAACAATATACTTTAACTGAAATGTGAGAAAACATAGCCCATTACGTTGTCTTCCTTGTCCAACATCAACTCTTTAGCATGTCATACTTAATGAGTGCTCCCAATTATAAAAGATGTCTAGGATAGTGTATTTATATGTGAAATCTCTCTTCCTTCAATATTCTTTCATGAATTGTTCAAATGACCAATACAATGCTTGCTAACCTTCAATAAATTTACAACCTCTACTTCTTAGATGTGAAGTCATTACCCCCCATGGGATAAGCAAATGAAACATATATAATTTCAGATTTATGACATTCAACTCATTCAACCATTTACTCATAGGATATAAGTGAAGCACACGAGTAAATGACAAACTACTCTAACAAGATATAAGTGAAGATCAATGAGTAGCTAAATAATTGTGTAACTATGTGAAGACTCTCTCTCATTTAAGAATTTCAAATCTTGGTATTGTATTCAAACAGCAAGCAAAACAAAATAAAATGACATTGCAAGGATAGCACAACTCATGTGAAGAAGCAAAAACTTAGGCTCAACCGGTACTAACCGATAGTTGTTGAAGAAGAAAGGTGGGATGCCTAACGGGGCATCCCCAAGCTTAGATGCTTGAGACTTCTTGAAATATTATCTTGGGGTGCCTTGGGCATCCCCAAGCTTGAACTTTTGTGTCTCCTTAATTCCTCTCGTATCATGGTTTCTTTTTTTATCAAAAGCTTCATCCACACCAAACTCAACAAGAACTCGTGAGATAGGTTAGTATAAACCAATGCAAAACCTTATCATTTTATACAGAAATTACTGTTAGTGGAGTTCTATACTTCTTTGATTTAGCTCTTGAAAATTGATTGTGGCCTTTTTGTCTGCTGATGCTACTGCTCTGCACACCATCGATCAAAAGTTCAGTAGTAAAGTTGATGTTGTTACTTCATGAAGAATGACCTACAAATCGGTCCAATGTTACACAAAATATACCAGCCTGATAAATAGTCCAGAAGGATTTCCATGTCAACAAGGGGAAAACGAGTACATGTGCTTTTCCATTCATATAGTTTACTACTGTCTACTCCCTCCATTCCTAAATACTGTAAGTCTTTTTAGAGATTTCACTAGACTACATACGGAGAAAAATGAGTGAATCTACACTCTAAAATATGTCTATATACATCCGTATGTATTTCGTATTGAAATCTCTAAAAGGACTTATATTTATTAACGGAGGGAGTAAATGTCAATCTCGAATCCCCTCAAAACTTGCGGAGAAGCCTCGAAATCATCCATCAAGTTCATCTTCATGGGGAGACAGACATGTCACAAATTTCAGAGTGCTACTTCACATGCTGAACTTGAGCATATATGCACCAGCCATTTTGGAGCTTCTAGTATGAAGGATAGACCAGAAATCAACTATGTAAAAGGCAAGGTTCCCAAAAAGAATGGATGCCAGAGATTGTATCAGAACGGGTGTCAGAAATTAACTGAAAACTCTCATGAAACACCCGAAAATCAGGTCAGTTTTTGGGGGAAAACCCGACAACCTACCGCACAGAAACCTGCAAACAAAAACAGAAGACGCAAGAAAGCTTGCTCTGAGATGTGTGCCAGCAAATCCAACATACAATTTTTTTGATTGTGCACCGAGTGAAAAACACTGTTGTTTAGGAGAAGTATTATGGTAAGGTTATACATGCATCTACCTGGCTATGGATCCAATGTGCGTTGCGCAAGTTATGGGGCTAAACACATAAAAGTTCAGCGTTTACAGTTACAAAATTTCAGATCCAGCTGAGATCAATATTACCAATGGGACACAAATGTTGTTCTACTTCTGCCTGTAATACTCTGTATATACAGTATAGCCCCCACTGTAATCTGTCCCTGCTAGGTTGTTTTTAAAACTAGTGAATGTGTACAATCTGAGCTGAAAGTTGTTGTGCACAGAGTCGACGGATTAGAGTCATTGCCAGATGAACACCCTCGTTGTCAGAACTCGAAGTGGTTGCCACCTCGGTCGCGTGGACTTTGCGCGTACGGATGTGGTGGCCTCGCCTAGAAGAAGACGATTTTAATCTACAGTTGGCTTGCTCATGTCTATGTAGACTGTGTTGTTGTTGTTCCTCTCTTGTTGTAGTTGTCTGTATCCAGGTTTCAGTTGGTGTAACATGGATCGTGTGGGTGTGGCTGTTCCCTTCCGAAACTAAGAGCGTGGCTCTGGAATTTAAACAGCAGTTTGTGATACAGTTTTTTGTCAGATGAGGGTGCAAAACATGGTACAGTTTTGAGAAGCTTGTTTTGGCAGTGACAGTGAGAGGATTGTTGACGCTTGTTTGACAGGGCTCCGCTAGTGCCTACCTGGTTAGCCGGCCTTATCCCGGTTATGTGTTTGCAAAATGGTACGCAGGATTATTATACCTGAATGCGTGGTGTTGACGTGACCCTGCATACCAAGAAAGCGTGATAATAATGTGTCTTTGCAAAATGGTATGCAGGATTACTATTATCCCTGTTTTGTGTGACAGGGCACCAAGAAAGCGTAAGTTCACTAATAAAGTGCGCGATTAGATATGCAGCAAGTATGTGGGAATTAAAAAAAGATTTAGGATGTGATAGGTCCAATGTCCATGGACGGATGGATTGATACCATCCATCTCGCATGTGGTTTTGCCGTGGACCGCTCGTTGATCTTTTTTTTCTTAGTACCAATAGATTATCTGTCAAGTAGTACTAGTAGGTTTTGTTGATGGTGTGACGAATCAATCCTTATCCCAGCCGATGGTGTGATACCCAACTGAACTGGGCATACCACTAGTAGCACCCAGGAGCCTGAAAAACAAGGCAGGCTGAGCCTGAGCTTATTAGAAAATTGATCCGGCTTTGCTAGAGCGTCGAGTGATTGATTAAATGGGCATTGCACTATCAGTGGTGGACTGACGAGATGAGCTCAGGTGTTCTGCTGGAAAATGAATGGATAGAGCCGCGCCGCGTGCAGAAAACCTTGAGGTGGTGCTGATGGTGATGGCTGAAGCTATGCCGAAGTTAGCGCTGTCCTAGTGTGTACTAGTACTACTGTATACGAGATTTGCATTGTGCGCATGGAACACGCACGGAATGTATCGATCGTGCGTGTTGCCGCGTCTGCAGGCAGAGCAGGAGCAGGGAAACCAAACCAACGGCGCTTGCACTTGTACGGATGCAGGATATTTTTCTGCTCTGGCGAGGTGCACGTTTTGACCGGGCCGAGTGTTCACTCGAGCAGAGTCGCCGTCGCATCACGGGAATTAAAACACCTCCACCCTGTCCGTCCGTCAGATCGGACTTACGATAGGAACCTTTCACCTGGCTCAAAGATTTAGAGCATAATTGGTTTGCTATCAACATTTGGCAAAATCAAAAATTGCAACATTTGGCAATCTGCATCCATCGATTTCTTCTGCATTTCTGCCTGCCCATACAAAAAAAAAACGGAGGCCGTTTTCTTATTCCTTTCGGGCCGCCGTGTGCTTTCTAGCCTGTTCTCTTCTGTATGATACATGACGAGAACGCAATTCAGCTAAGTATGTCGTACGTCCGCGTGAGCATCAGATGTTTGATACCGAAAGAGAGAAAAGAGTATTATCGGATTGACGCTTGACGTGATGGTGCTAGCCACAACGCCGATCATGCTGAACATTCCAGCATCACACAAGAAAAGCCAGTAATCATGCGTGTATATAAAGAAAGTCTGAGGCAGCTAAGCTAAGCGACCACTGTTGTGACCGTTACTACTGGTCAGCGTCCTGTGCGCGCTCGACAGCTTCAGCTTGCACGAGGACCGACCGTTGCCATCGTTGGCCCTCCTCCCGTTCCAACGGCTCCGTAGCCCAGAGACCTGCGAAATCCCCGAAACACCCTCACGTCTGTCTGGCTAACCTAGCGCTACGGCGATAGCGGCTTTGCGTTGCTTCCGCGCGTGCGCGTCTCTCGCCCTTCACGCCGTCGCCGCGCCCTGCCCTTATCCGTCCTTTTCTCTTCTCCCTATTTAGTCCCGCCTTCCCCGGCCTTCCTTCTCCATCCATTCCAGCCATTGCCAATCCCCACCTCCACCTCCTCGCTCCTCACTCACACACCTCCAGCCCCTCTCAGCTCAACCACACTAGTACCAAGAGCAAGCCAAGTCTCCATGGACGCGGTGGAGTCCTCCTCGCCCTACTCGCCGCCCTCGCTGCGCCACAAGCTGCGGACCACCGTCTGCGGATGCTTCGGCTCCCCGTCGTCCCCGGGCAGCGGCGGAAGGGCCAGGTGGAGGCGGCGAGTCGCGGCCGCGGGGGATTTCCGGTACGACCCGCTCAGCTACGCGCTCAACTTCGACGACGGCGGCGGCGACGACGGCGACGCCGACGCGGAGGACGCCGCCTTCCGGCATAGAAACTTCAGCTCCCGCCTGCCGCCCTCGCCGGTGCCGGCCTCCCGAGCCGTCGCAATAGCCTGAACTGAATTCTACTAGTACCGATCGTCCTTTTTAACTTTTTTGTACGTAGCTTCTGTCTCTCTGATTTTTCTTCTGTATGAACGAGACTGAATCAGTGACTACATCTGTAAAAGCAGTTTATACGGCCGGGGAAACGTACGTACCCAGGAGTAGCAAACCAGCAATAGCAACATGTACTTGCACATATAAGAATCAATCAGTCCATTTTAATGTTCCATCAATTCTCAATGCAAGCCAACACTACACGGCGATAAAGAATTGGTTTGGTTCCAAATATTTTTCGATGATGAACCGTCAACGAAGTTTCCCTTCGGCTTGGTGGTGTGGGTGGAATCATCTCCCGTCGCCCGTCGCCATCCACCCTGTGGGCTGCGCGTATCCAACCATGTACAAACACTACGTGGGTAAAAGGGTGCTGCAAAGGATTAGCGAGTATTCAACAGTCAAAAATATCCAACCAACCACACACACAGCAAACGACTCTGAAGAAGAACAAGGTCATGCAGTTTGTCACGGTTCACAGTTGGAGCTTTCGCGCCAAGAAAAATCTTCCCTCTGCACTTCCCTTTCTTTGAGAAAAAATAGAGGCGAATCGCAGTAGCATTCAAACGAGACTATACGACCGGCCTCGGCCTCCACTCATGTTTCGTATTCACCCCAAGTTGACTTCGGCCGGTCGCTGAACATGTGCGGTATCATCTCCGTTGTTTCGTAGAAACCACCCTTCCATGGGCATTACACTGTCTTTTTTTTCTTTTTTTCTTTTTGAGAATCTCGGGATTGCACTGTCCGGTCTCCAACCGCAAACAAGGATTCAAACAAAGGAAATGGGCTTGTAGGCTGCGAATGGGTACTAGCTAGCCGTAGAGAGGAGAACTTGGCGGAGAAGAAAGGCCATCCGGTCGGCTTGTAATCTTAGAACGATGTTGGGTGGAATTCCTCTGAAATGCAAACCCTATCTTAGAACATAGGTGAGGGAGGTTGGCTGCAGCTCCTTGAGCAGATACTGGCAAGGCGCGGGGCTATTTGCGGATGCAGTGGATTCGGAGGAGGAAGTGTTCACCTACATGCATGAGGTCTAGCGGGAGGAGGAGCCGGAGCCCTCCTACGTGCGTGTCCACCCGGTGCCCGGCACCAACGTCGTGGACATCTTCGACGGCGAAGATTAGCTAGGGTAGTATGTAGTTTTTTTTTTTTTGCATGCTTTGTATGGAAATATGAAGGTTAAAATATGATAGATCGAATGCAGACTAGCTAATTTGAGATGTGACCGGTTACTATATGCAAACACGTCCGGTCGTGTCCGCACACGTTTGAGGGACCGCAGATGTTTTTGCTGCTCCGCCGGGTCTTGACCGAGCGCTCACTCGAGCAGAGTCGCCGTCGCCATCACGGGAATTAAAACGCCTCGATCCTCTCCGTCCGTCATCCCGGGCCGCACGACAGGAGACCTTTCACCGGCCGGGAGGTTTGGCATCCTATTCGGTCGGCGTTCACATCCATCGATTCGGCCGTGTCAAATCTTTTTATCATGCTCTTTTCTTTTCTGTGTGATGATGAGAACGTAGTACGTGAATGGAGGAGGCATAGCGTACGTCCGCGTGAGCATCAGATGTTGATCTCCAATTCCAAAAGAGAAAAAAAGTGCCAACTGTTTGACACTTGAAAGGCAACAATCAAAGCCTGAAAGTGAACTGAAGCAGCTAAGCTACCACTGTTACCGTTACTATCGCGGTCAGCTCCTCTCTCACAGCTCGCACAAACGACCGACCGTTGCCATCGCCCTCCTCCCGTCCCAACGCTCCGGAGCCGCGAGACCTGCGAAATCCCCAGAACACCCTCACGTCTAACCGCACGCGTGCTCTACGGCGATAGCTTTGCTCGCTTTCCCGTGTGCGCGTCTCTTGCCATTCACGCCGTCGCCGGCCCTGTCTTTATCCGTCTTTTTCCGCCCCTCCTATTTAGTTCGGTCCACCTCCGCCTTCTTCTCCAGCAGCAGATCGAGCACGCTGTCACACGCCCCACAACTCTGACAACCCACGTCCATCTCTAGCTGCTACCGGCTGAAGCACACTAGCACCAAGGAAGACGCCATGGACGCGGTGGAGTCCACGTCGCCGCCGTCGCTGCGCCACAAGCTGCGGACCACCGTGTGCGGCTGCTTCGGCTCGCCGGGCAGCGTCGCGGAGAGGCCGCACACCGGGGGCGGCAGGAGCAGGTGGAGGCGACGCGTGGTCGCCACGGGGGAGTTCAGGTACGACCCCCTCAGCTACGCGCTCAACTTCGACGAGGGCGGCAGCGGCAGCGACGACTGTGCAGAAGCAGAGGATGCGGCCTTCCGGTACCGGAACTTCAGCTCGCGCCTGCCGCCCTCGCCGGCACCGGCCTCCCGAGCCGTCGCCATGGCCTGAAGGCCTTTGCTGCTCCTGTAGCTTTTTGTTTCTCTGATATTTCTTCTTCTCCGAGTGAGACTGAATCAACTCTGTAAAAGCAGTTTATACATCCGTGCATATCGTCGCGATGTAGTAGCAATAGCAGTGTACCAGTACCATGATGCATACATATAGGAATGAATCATTCAATTTTAATGTTCGGTCGGTTCTCAATGCAAGATGAATTCCTTTTCTCTTGGATGATGAAACGAGGTTTTTTACCCTTTTGGTTGGTGGAATCATCTGCCGTCGCCATCCACCGTGTGGACTGAACAGTCAAAATGCCGATACGGATCTGAAGAGCCAACTCCACTGAGTATCCCCGAGTTGAGCTCGGCCGGCCGTCAAACATGCGCGGTATCATTTCCGCTGTTCCACACAAACCTCCCTTCCAGTCCCACGGGATTGCATACTGTCCACATGCGTGAGATGTTGGGATTTGGATTAGAGAGGCCCCGCGCCCGTGTGGATTCCGTGTGTGCTCGGCGGCAGGTTTTGAGGATAGGGAGACCGCAAAGGATCAAGACAAGTTTGGATTTGGCACTTTGGCAGCTGACGATGACGGCAAGGGGAAAATTGAACGACACGGAAAGTTGCTGAGTATAGTAGCAATCTTATTTTTTTTGGAACTGTTTTTTTCTTGCAAGAAATTATTTTCGGAAATGATATACACTGGCAGTTTTTAGGCAATTCCCAACGAACGCGTTCGTCGCCGTTAGGCAAATCCCATTTCTAAATATAAGTCTTTCTAGAGATTCCAATATGGACCACATATGTATGTAGTTCATATTGGAATCTCTAGAAAGACTTATATGTAGGAAAGGAGGGAGTGTGAATTAGAAAATGTTCAAAACTTTCAACAAAACCCCTGATTTTAGTAAATAATCATGAATTTCAAAAAACATTGTTGATTTCAGAAAATGTTTCAAATTGCAAAAAATGTTTTACAAAATCTTGAATTTAAAAATATCCATAAATTTGAATGATTTTCTAATTTAAAAAATGTTCCAAATTTCCAAAAATGATTACTGATTTCAAATGTGTTCCTACATTTTAATTGTTTTTTAATTTATAAAATATTCATGAAACTAAAAAATAGAAAAAGGAAAGAAGAAGATAAACAAAACAACAAAATGAAATAAAAAGGCAGAAAATATATATGAGAAACCGGTGTTGGGCTCTCTCCCCAAGATCGATTGGGAGCGAATCCGGGAATGTGCCAGCTCATATAGCAGGGCCTCTCTTCATGGGTGCACGTTTGTGCGTTATGCGTGGAATAGGATTTGTCTCTGCCATGCCTAGGCTAAACCTCGCTTATTGCAAGACCTATGGTGGCCTGGCCTACAGAGTTGGGAATTGTGGGCTGGTCCGTTTTAGCTGTTGTAGTTGGCCGTCTACTTTTCTGTGTTTTCTTCACTATAAAATACATGATCTTTTTAAGCTGCTCGGTTTTAGCGTACCTATTTTTTATTATATGTCATTAACATTTTTCTAGATAGCGTACCTATCTTCAGATCTTTTTCCAAGTGCATGTTGAGGTTTTTCAATACATCTTAAAAAAAATTCGAATACACACTGATCATTTTTATAATACACACTGAACTTTTTTTAATATACGTTGAACATTTTTTAAATGTTTGTTGACTCCTTTTAAACAATTGTCATATGGACGTTAACATTTTCTAAAAACACGCTAAACAAATTCAGATGCACGTTGAACATTTTTAAGTACATGTTGAATATTTGTTAAATGCACATCAATTTTTTCAAATACACAACGAACAATTTTTAAACACATGATAAACATTTTTCAAATAGACACCGAACATTTTCGTAATGACACCATGAGCTGTTTTGAAAAAACACAATGATTTTTTTTAAGTGCATGATGAATATTTTCAATTCACAACAACTATTTCAAATACATAATAAATATTCTAGTATTACATGCTGAATGTTTCTAATTTACGTAATGAACACCTTCTTAATACGCGACGTGACCAAGAAGAAAGTGGAAAAAAAATGAAAAAGAGCATAAGGAAAGATAATGCACATTGCGTGTCTATGCTGCTCACAGGGACAAGTTTGCATCTCATAGCCATGCTGAGCCTGTTCCATATGCAGGAACAATGCAGGCGAGCGGGGTGTTCAACTCGCGACAAGCGATATATAGACATACTCTCCATCCCAGGCGCATAAATAGGAAACAAGTGAATGGACTAGACGATGCTTGTCTAGTTCAGATTCCGTTGTCTCTTGTGTCATGATCTCATAGGCATCACACCATCCAAGTCCAACTAAACCTAGCATGGCATACAAGTCCTTTTTTGCATTCCCTAAAAAAGGAACTTTTTTACACCTTTCCGCTACTAGCAATCGTGTATGTGCAATGCATATTGATACTAGCTAAGTGTCCGTGCGTTGCCACGGATTAACAAATATATATATACAAAGAGAAAATTCATGTGACATGAGAGTCAAAGGTCATTTCTATGGGATGATATCTCATGGTCATGATCTAGTAGATACATACATCTCGTCATTGTCTTTCTTCCACACTCCATGTCTGAGCTACCACGCGACATTCGACTTCCTTCTCCCATCATGCATGCTTTTATCTCCTATTTCTCCTACCTTTACCTTACACGACAGTACCAAGTTTCTTGTCCAACTATCATAATCTTCTCCGGTAGGGCACCCCCTTAGATTATTACTGACTTGTACATGTTGCAAATAAGATCAACGAAAATGGATACTAAATTTCTGATGAGAAATGAGAATTCAGGGCAATATCTTCCCAAGACAATAATAATTCCAAGACAATCTTTTTATACCTTCTGTCAACATTGGGACACACATTCCACACAATAAGCATGCAATGATGTTGATACTTGATTAATTGTCATTATATGTCTACAGTAAAGATAACTTTACTCAAAACCGCCTATCTTAGCCAAATCAACAAATCTCTCTCATTAATGCAATTTTCTTTAGAAAACAAATAATAGATTCTTTCCTATCTTAGCCAAATCAACGGATCTCTTTCATTAATGCAATTTTCTTTAGCAAACAAATAATAGATTCTTTCCTACCTTAGCCAAATCAACGGATCTCTCCCATTAATGCAATTTGCTTTAGCAAACAAATAATAGATTCTTTCCTACCTTAGCCAAATCAATGGATCTCTCCCCGGTTCGCTGGGCGCGTTTCGGTGGGTGGGCGTGGGGGTGGGGATAATTTGATGGAAATAAACCGGTTGAAAATAAACCGGTTGAAAATAAACGGATCCTGTCTCACTCTTCACTTTCTTTACAATAAACTTCAGAATAGCAATCTTGGCGAGTGATCTCGACGGGGTTCAATCGGCGTGGCGCACCGCTGATTCTTCCAGGAGTGGGTGCTGAGAGGAAGGATCCCAAACCTCCATTGTCAATCGGCCAGAGCTGCATCGTCCTTTGGATCAGAGCGTGGACGGGATCAAGACGGTAGGGTTTGAGGAATTTGTAGGACGTGAGGGTTTATGGTTGGCAGCACGAGAACTCACCCATATCTTGGCAGACGGCAGGCCCGAGGTGCGGTCGTGTTCATGCTTCGGGAGCTGCCACATGCTGTCCTCGCCGCCATCAGCGACACCACCGCCATCGCCTGTTGCCACCACTTAAGCGCCACGAGCGTGGGACCGAGGGACGAAGGGAAGGGAAGGAAGTGAATTGACGTACCTATGTTTGGTATATATCACACGAGGAATCAAAACTGGATGCACGTGAAAGCATAGAGATGGGAGAGGAGGACAGAGGAAGGGAAGGGCAAGAGGAACCTGAGGATGTGCGATGAAGGAGCGATGCCAAAACATCACAAAAGGGGGACCCGTAGCTCGTCATGTAGCGCGGCCGCCTCATTGCCGGCTGCCACCCCGCGCTACCGCCTCCGTGCGCAGGTTCCGTTCGTGGAGCGTGAGGAGCGCATGACCTGCCTTCACCGCGGCCTGGTCCTCCCCACTATCGTGAAGCTCGCCCGCATCGCCGCCCCAATTGCTCAGGATGACGGATGAAGATCCTGCAACAGCGACGTGAGCGAGGGATGCAGCCGACGATGGAGGGATGATTTTCGTGGCTAAACCCTCCCTATCAAAATAACTACTTAAAAAAGGCAAAGATCGATGCATTAGGAAAATTAGGATTTGGAATTGATTGTCATAAAACAAAATTTTATTAATTGATAACGTGCTATCGATACATGCCCGTTTATAACGTGTCTAGTTAGGAAACTTTGGAAAAGTTAGGAAAATTTTTATTGTGAGGGTAAAAAAATCAATGTGAGGAGATATGGTGGTGGGATATGAGGCGAAAATAAACCGGACGAAAATAAACCAGACGAAATATAACCAGACGAAAATAAACCGTGGACGCAATCCTACCAACTGCTCCATTAGGAGTAGAGATTAGGCACAGTGTTAGTTACACGTTGATATTTGGTACTATGAATTGCATGTTGATATAAGGTAAAATATTAATTCCGTGATGATAAATGATAACTGGCAGGATGTTAATTGCGTGACAAATTTCATGAGATGACATTTAGTTATAACATGTGGTTGTGGTGGGTAATTAGAGCGTCAAAATACGTTTGGTGCTAAACATCGGAACGGTTTAGACCATTAGATCAGCATGGCTCGATGGTCGAGATGGTTTTGATTCTACATCCTTTCTACTTTTATAGGTGTAGTAGATAAATTGGTCTTCCGATGCACCAACGAAATGTCAAGCACTTTCTACATAGTTGGTCAGATAACATGCAAGTCCTAACACACATGCACAAACCTTTCTTTATGTCGTGCTTGCTCGACTAATAAGTCACAATCAACTTTGTCAAAAACGGTCTTGGTCTTTTAGATCCTTCCACTCAAATATTGGGAATTTTTTTCTCCTAATTCTGGGATGATGAATGAACTTTTTTACAATCAAAAGTAGCAACTTCTA